AATTAAGGAGGCAGTATTTTCTTTAGGACCCTAATCTTTTTTAACCTAAAATTTTTCCTAAATCTTTACAATAAAAGGCAGATTATGGCATAAGAAATAAAGATTTGGCACAGCATGGAAAAGTCTCTGCATAATAAATTCACTCAACCCCGATGCCACCACCCGGCCTCAGCACACCTCCCATGTCCAGATTCAGGACCTCGACCACTGGAAGGCGGACAGCCCCAGCAGCAGCAACCCGGCTCCCTGCACTGAGCAGGAGCCCAAGCTGAGCCCAACTGAACATCCCAAGAACTCTTTTGGTGCCTTTACTGTTACCCACATTCACAAATGAGTGTCCTGAAGCTCAGCCATGTCACCTTGTTTGCCTGGATCTCCACCGGCAAGAGGGAACACCAGCACTCTATCTCAGTCTGTGCCACCCTCAAGCCAGCAATTAACACCAGCTCCCCAGAACGGCCCAGAAGCCGCCTCCTGCCTGGCTGAGGCCAGCCCCTGCGTCCTGCAGTAGTGCACTCCAGGTCTCTGGGCAAGTCTGGTCGGAAGCATGCCCAGAGGGTATGTCTCAATAACTTGCAAAATTTGGCAGTGCCAGCAAGACCCAAGCACCTGCCCCACCCTGCTGAACCCCCAGGCTGCAGCATCCTGGAAACCAAACCCCAGAAGGGCTGCCAGCACCTGCAGACCCCCCGTTCATGCACCCGGCTCCCCCTTCTCCTGACGGGCCCACCCCGTTTCCACATAGAGGTGGCTGTTTTGATCTCTCCTCGGTTGTGCACGTTGGACCCCGGGCTCTGTCCTGTCTTTCCACCTGCTTGGATGCTGGGTTCATACCCAGAACAGCAGCAGCTACCGTTTATCAAGCAGTTACTACAAGACAGGCAGTGCGCCGGTGCTCTGCTGCAGTCAACCTCACAGAATTTTTGCCACAGCTCAATGAAGTAGCCACATTTATGATTCCATTTTACGGATGGAGAAGCTGAGACTTAGAAATATCAGAGCAACATGCCTGAGGCTCGAATCCGACACTTGACAGATCTGAGAATCCAGCCCAGGAGGCCTGCACCGAGACCAGCTTCTCTGTCAGTTTTATGCTACGTGGTCCCCACTATGACTTTATAAAGAGGAGTCTTCTGGAATCTCACTGTTCTGACACGCTCAGAGCTGCAGGGCCAGTGCGACCGCCCTCGTCTCCACTGCAGTCATCCCTACCACTAACACAGAAACGATGCAGCGTGTTCTATGTACATCTCCATTGTGTGCCCTCAGCAGAGAGTCAGGACTGAGTCGTCACTGCATCCTGCTTGGCAGTTCCCGAGCTACTGAGAAAACACACAGCCCCAGGGACCCACCTGAGCCATGAGATCCTCGGCATTGGTAAAACCGAGGCCAGCCAGATGCAGAGCAGGCATCCAAACACCGCTGAGTACATGAGTGGTTCCAGCAAGCTCACACGGCTCTCAGGAACTTCAGGAGGAAATGCTGCCCTGTCCTGTCCTATCTCTGCAGCCCTGGAGGACATCTGAGGGCCAGGATAGCCCTCGGAGACCATCTACGCTGTGGCTTTCAAACACCCTTAAACCACAGAGCCTGTGGTGCAAACCAAACCTTCTACAAAGACCGACTACTGTAAAAGAAAAGGAAGCCCAGTGGAGGGGTCCTGGCGGTCACCTCACCCACCCAAGCCACAGGGAACATCAGCCGCTGAAGTGCTCTTGGGAAATGCAGGTTCCAGGGCCCTGTGCAGGCTGCTGCCCCAGCACGTCAGAAAGCGGGGCCCTGGCATCTAAAGTTTTAAAGGTTCTGGGTGATCCAAGGCCCTCCCCCAGGGCAGCTGGGACTCATTGACCACCTGCAGAGGCTCTCAACCTGCTTCTTGGCCGTGGGACCGAGTTTTCTAATGGTAAAATGAACCCCAGTCTATGAAGGGGGTCTCCAGAGCCTGCTGTGCTCTGCCTCACTCCCCGGTCTCCACGGCATTTCTCAGGAAGCAGGGCTCAGGCTGGACACAGCTGGGACACTGCTGAGTCAGAACGTCTCCGAACCCAGCTGGCACGTGCCTTCCTGACGCTTCCACTCAGTGGCCCACTCTGCCCACCAAGTCCACCCAGAGGGCGACCGCCCCCTTCCCAGGACAGCCCTTTGATAGGCAGAAGGCTGTGTTTTCACAGCCTCAGGCCAAGGCTCACCAAAGCCATGTGTCCTTCCCAAGCTGGTACCCAGGAAATATACATTGGTCCCCTCAGACCAGGACGGCCACTTGCTCCTCTCACGGCCTACATACGGCAACAGGTGTAGCCTCTCCATTCCTACATGTCACAAACATCCCCTGAAACAGCAGCAGAGGCTGCGGACACAGGCACTGTGACTACATTGGAATGACAGCCAATCCCCGTGACAGGCCTCCAACAGCGAGGAGCGACCCCTGCAGGCCTGGGTCCCCAGGGGGGCATGGGACAGCCTGCGCCTCTGCTTACCTCAAACACTTCCTCATCCAGAATGCGGGTGCCAAACACGATGATGCCATTGACGTCTATCATGGGGTGGTCACTGCGATCGAGGAATTTGGTGGCCTTCTTTTTGCAGTCGAGGATCAGGGTGACATTTTTCTTGTGGACACTAAGAGCAATTCTGTGCCACCTGCAAAGAAACAACAGCCCAGGTGGTGAAGGGCTGCTTGCATGGCAGAACGCCAATCCCAGTGGCTTTGTTACAAATTCCTAGAGACACAGGAAGCAGCCCTGTTTCTGGCACGGCCACAGTGGGCTGAGCAGCTCAAAGCCAAGCCCGTGGAACCGGACAAGTTTGGGCCGAGATCCCAGCAACGCCACGTGCCCTCATGGCATCTACTCAACCTCTTGAAACCTCAGAATTCTCGTCTCTC